TTTAATGTCGCTCTACACAATTACGGCCTGTCCAGTTCTGGTGGGGGGGGGGATAACCAACTCTGAGTGAACATAGCGTCAGTTTTTAGGTGACTTTTCTAAATATACATATACAATTATACAATATATACTGATTCAGAAATAGATTTAAATAAGTAACAGTGGTATTATGACAATAAACATTTTTTTAAAGAGGAGTCCATGGGTCGGGGGTATTTGTAACCCCCCTAAATCCCCCCCCCCCCCCTGCCTACGCCACTGAGCATAACAATGCTAGTTAATATTATATGAATCTTTATTTGCGCACAATGGGAAATTGGTACAAAAGATAATCATTCAATTACTAAACTATAAGGTGTTAATATCTGTATCATGTTTTGTGCAGTGTGAGTGTCTTCCGACAGGCTTGCAGCTTGTAGGCCATATATTCCATATACTTCTTTTATAGAAAAAAGTAGCAACGTTCAATGTGATATCTGTTTTTATTCAAGCAAAATAAATCTACCATCGATACATTGATTCTATCATCTATACTAATAGTTTCGCTGTCTGTCTGTGTATCTATCTATCTATCTGTCAAGAACACTATAGAGAAAACACAAGCAAATTAAAAACTTTCATAGTAAAACGAAAACGAAACATGACGTCACATGGAGCATATAGTAGGAAATAGTCGAAAGCCGGGAGAGTGCACACAATAATATGACGTCATTGATTCTCGAGTAAACATTGAATAAAAAACATTTTTTTTAATCTTAAAAAAGGTTTACTTGAAGAGTTTCTTTCATATAATTCTTCGGGTAGGGGCGAAGCCCGCCCCCGCGTAAGAACGTCTAAGCCCCCCACCCCAGCTCAAAAGAAATGTCGTCATCGATACCCTATAGTAAAATTACCGCCTAATTCATGTGTCTAATCTAAAAAGTGGTTTACTTGCAGAATTTCTTTCATGCAACTCTTCGGGTAGGGGCGAAGCCCATTTAACCCCCCCCCCCTCCCCGGTTGAACGTCTAATCCCTCCCCCTAAAACAACGAAATATAATTTATATAGAAAATATATTATACTTTTACCAGTGTCGGGCTCCCCACCCCGGATAATTTTATTCGCTTCTGCAAAAAATTCAAGTGCCCCACCCCCAGAAAAATATATGAAAGAAACATTGTCTACGAGAGTAAGCTTTATCGGCCAAAAGTAAGAAACGAGTTCTAAATTATAGAAGTAGGCTCTACCTTTAATATGTATGATCAACAAATACGATCAGAATTTTTCTTCCCCTGAGGTTGGGGGGGGGGGGGGGGGGGGGGGGGGGGGGGGGGGTACTTGAAATTTTCGGGGGTGAGTGTGCACTAAATTTTCTGGCAGGGGGCGGATACCGGTGAAGTATATTTTCTATATAAATTCTATTTCGTTGAATGGCACGGTAGATGTGCTTTGAGGTGTGTGTGTGTGTGTGTGTGTGAGGGGGGGGGGGTCAAGTAGAGTCGCCTAAAAGAAACTCTAAATGCGACTTTTTTCATAATGGAGATTAGTTGCAAGGTTTAGGAGTATGTCTACAACTATATTTAGTATCAATGTGCAGTAACTACGCGGAAATCAAGCTTAAATCCTATTGAAGTACCGATTCTGGATAAAAAATCCGTTTTGAATGTCATTTTTCGTTTCAAGTTAAATTGAATGAAGGTGGTGATTTTGGTTTTGGTTTTACTTTAGAGAAAAGAGACAGCACTATCAACCTAGCGCCCGTTGTATCCTTCCTCGTCTATAATAATAGTTTCGCTGTCTGTGTATCTATCTATCTGACAAGAACGCTATAGAGAAAACACAAGCAAAATAAAAACTTTCATAGTAAAACGAAAACGAAACGTGACGTCACATGGAGCATATAGTAGGAAATAGTGTAAAGCCGGGGGGAGTGCACACAATAATATGACGTCATTGATTTTCGAGTAAACATTGAATAAAAGCCAATCTTAAAAGTGGCTAATCTTAGAAGCGGTTTGCGTGCAGAGGTTTTTTTCATGCAATTTTTTGGGTCGGGGCTAAGCCCCACCTCTGCGTAAGAACGAATCTTATAACCGTTTGGCGTGTAGAGTTTCTTTAATGCAATTCTTCGGGCAGTTGCTAAGCGCGACACCAGTGTTTCTTTCAGACTTTTTCCTCCCCGGAGGGAGGAACTTTTTCTAATCTAAAAAGTGTTTTGCGTGCTGTTTCTTTCATGCATCTCTTCTGGTAGGTGCGAAGCCCCGCTCAGATTCTTCCTTTAGTTTGTATGATCTACAAATGCGAGAGTGTTTCTTTCAGACTTTTTCCTCCCCGGAGTGGGGTGGGGGTACTTGAAATTTTCGGGGGCGGGGCGGAATTTTCTGGGAGGGGGCGGACACTGAAAAAAGTATATAATTATATTTCGTTGAATGGGACGGTAGACATGTTTTGGGGTGTGTGGGGGGGGGGGGGCAGAGCCCCCTAATCCCAAGTAGACTTAAAACCGGAGAGTGCACACAGTAATATGACGTCATTGATTCTCTAGTAAACATTGAATTAAAAAGCCAATTTTGTCTAATCTTAAACGTGGTCTGTGTGCAGAGTTTCTTTCATGCAATTCTTCTGGTGACGGGCAAAGCCCGTCCCCCCCCCCTTTAAAAACGTTTATGCCGACACCCCCCCCCCCAACTCAAAAGACATAACGCCATCGATACTCTATAATAAAAACACTGACATAAAGGCCTAATTAATGTGTCTAATCTTTAAAGTGTTTTGCGTGAATGGTTTCTTTCATGCATCTAATCGGGTAGGGTCGAAGCCCCAACCCCGGTAGAACGTTTATGCCGACCCCCCCCCCCCCCGACCGCCTCAAAGAAATGACGTCATCGATACCCCATAATAAAAATACGGACATTACGGCCTAAATTATGTGTCTAATGTTATAAGTGTTTTGCGTGAAGAGTTTCTCTTCTGGTAGGGGCGAAGCCCCTTTACCACATTCCCCCCCCCCCCCACACGGTAGAACGTCTAATCCCCCCCCCCAAAAAAAAGGCGTAATATCTATATACTACTAAAAGTCAAGTTTGTTTACATGTTTGAATATTTATTTGTTTGTCCGATCGAAAATTGTGATATGTTCGACTCTATCTGGAAAGCTGTAAAATGGTATGCAGGTAGAGAATAATTTTTTAATGCAGACAGACTGTTGATCACAAATTTATTTAAAGACGTTAATTAATTAATTGATTTATTCATATGCAGATTAACCCATTTTTTTAAAAAAGATTTGAAAAGCCACTAGACTCGACGGAAACAGTGACGTCACATGATGTGTTTATTTTTTTACATCGATAATGGCGGCCTATCGAAGAAGATTGTGTTCCCATTCCAATGTTTAACGCGTTCTAAAGCTAATTTTCTGTCGGCTTTAACTTTAACAATACGTCCGTTTGCTGTATTTATTACGTTCCAACACTTATATCAATTTTCAACTGTCTTTTTCATTTAGTTTTACAATAAATTTCTCTAGGTCTAAAGATCAGCTGTCGAAGGAAAGTTATTTATAGATCTAGATCTAGAATCTAGAATCTAAAAATCTAGGTCAAATCCAAGATTTATTAGTTATAAATACAATAAAAAAAACGAAACTTTAGCAAACCAGTCGTAGATCTAGAATATAGATAATTCTATCTAGATTTAGATAATAATGAGTTTCTATATACTAAACTATTTTAGACCTTTATTATTTTATATAAATCTTTTTTTGTATAGCTATGAAATATGCTAATTAGGAAATGCTGGATGCGGGGCCTATTTGCATAACTTAAGATTCATACGCGGCTTCTATACCGCTAAGTGTGCAAAATTATAGGACATATGTTGGGGCGCCAAAATGGTTTGGAAAAATAAATTGAAAGGTTGGGGGGGGGGGGTTCAAATCGAAAGTTTGAGTGGGGGGGGGGGGGGTGCACATCAAAAGTTTGAGGGGGGGTGGTTGAAAATTGAAATCTTGGGAGGGGGGGTTAAAATCGAAAAGTTTGTCCCCGGGCGCCAGGAAGGGTCGCTATGCCTCTGAGTGACAGACGTGATGTTTTTTGATGGATGACCCCCCGAAACCCACAGTTATCCAACGGATGACGGGTATTCTAGTAATATATATATAGAGAGAGAGAGAGAGAAAATATATACTTTACCAGTGTCGTCCTTCCCCGACCCGTCGAAATTTATTCGCCCCTGCAAAAGTTTAAGTGCCCCACCACCGAAAAAAAGCCTGAAACGAACACTGTCTGCGTGAGTAAAATTTATTGGTCGAAAGTAGGAAACAGGTCAATATTATAGAAGTACGCTCTACCTTTAGTTTGTATGAGCTACAAATGCGACCAGTGTTTCTATCAGTTATTCCTCCCCAGAGTGGAGGGGGGGGGGGGTTCTTGAAATTTTCGGGGGTGAGGGTGGACTCAATTTTTTGGAAGGGGCGGACACAGGTAAAAATATGTTTTCTATAAAAATTATATTTCGTTTAATGGGACGGTAGAGGTGCTTTAGACTGCGTGTTGGGGGAGGGGGCTGCACGGGGCAGAGCGCCCCCCCCCCCCCTAAATGCGACTTAATTCGTGTTTAAGATTAGGTGCATGGTTTAGGGATTTGACTTCGACTGTGTTTGGTATTAATGTGCAGTAACTACGTGTAGATCGAGCTTAATTCCGGTTAAAATGAAGATTCTGGATAAAAATCCGTTTTCAATGACATTTTTCGTGTCCGGTTAAATTTTAAGCTGAGGTGGTGATTTTCTTTTTTATTTCGATTTAAAGAAAAAAGACACCACTATCAACCTAGCGCCCGTTGTATCTCTCCCTCAACGGGCCATTTATCTCGTACAAAAGATTTGTTTTATTTTTCAGGCTTTGTTAGAGGAAAGAAAATGTTACTGTTTCATTCTCTCCCATCTGGCATCAGTAGCAACTGTTCAACTTCACTACCACGATAAGGTAAAAAACGACCTGGCATTGCTAAAATAATCCGTATCAAATAGTAGTAAGCTATGTTCTTTATTGCAAATTCAACATACCATTAATTTGTTAGTATGGTCTATTGACTTGAGAGGTATATTTTAAAAAGAATTGGTGGTCTCAAAAAAAAAAGCAATTATACAGCAAGATGAGCGTGTAAGCATCATGTCATTTTATGGTACCAACTATGGTAAGTGACCTCTTAAGATTTGCGTTCCCAGATCAAAACAAATTTAATAAATATTTATTTTTTATAGAAGCTTTCTATTTTACTCGCTTCATCTTACTTGTTTTTGTATTTTCTCTTTAAATTATTACATATTTAAAGAAAATAATTTATTTTCTCATTTTAAGTGCATCATTACATAAAACGTTTTTTATGCATTTTTTTGTAAAAATTGTAAACTTTCTTAAAACTTTAATAAATGATAATAGCTTTATGGTGGGGGGTACTTGAATTTTTTGAGGGGGGCGGGGGTAGAATTTTCGGGGAGGGGGCGGACACTGGAAAAAGTATATAATTATATTTCGTTGAATGGGACGGTAGACATGTTTTGGTGTGTGTGTGTGTGGGGGGGGGGGGCGGAACCACCCCCTCCCAAGTAGAGTTGCCTGAAAGAAACTCAAAATGTGACTTTTGTCATGAATGAGATTAGATGCATCGTTTAGGGATATGCCTATGATTCCTCAACGGGCCATTTTTCTCGTCTATAATAATAGTTTCGCTGTCTGTGTATCTATCTATCTGTCTGACAAGAACGCTCTAGAGAAAACATAAGCAAATTAAAACTGTCATAGTAAAACGAAAACGAAACCTGACGTCACATGGAGCATATAGTAGTCTAAAGCCGGAGGAGTGCACACAATAATATGACGTCATTGATTCTCGAGTAAATATTAAATTAAAAAGCCATCTTTTTCTAATCTTAAAAGGGGTTTGCGTGTAGAGTTTCTTTCATGCATCTCTTCGGGTAGGGGCTAAGCCCTCCCCCCCCCCCTCTTCCAGAAGAACGTCTATGCCGCTGGGCTTTAAAAAAAATGACTTCATCGATACTCTACAATAAAAACACTAACTACAGCCCTATTCATGTGTCTAATCTTAAAAGTTGTTTGCTTGGAGAGTTTCTTTCATGCATCTCTTCGGGTAGGGCAAAGCTCCTCCCCACTCACCCCCTCTCCACCGGCCAAAACTAGGAAAAGGTCTATGTTATAGAAGTAGACTCTACCTTTAGTCTGTATTATCTACAAATGTGACCAGTGTTTCTTTCAGACATTTTCCTACTGGGAGGGGGGGTACTTGGAATACTCGGGGGTGAGGTGGACTATATTTGTGAGGGTTTGGACCCTGGTAAAAGTATGTTTTCTTCGTTGAAGGGGACTTGCTTCTGGGTGGGTGGGGGGGGGGGGGCGGTGGAGAGGGTTGAGGTGGTGATTTTGGTTTTGGTTTAGAGAAAAAGACAACACTATCAACCTAGCGTCCGTTGTATCTCTCCATCAAAGGGCCATTTATCTCGTATTTAATAATACTCTACTATATATAAATAACTATAAAGAAAAGCGTGGGTCACTTTATTATCTATTGGATACCTTTACTAATGTTTAGGAAGAGAACCAAAACTAAACCCAACCCCAACTCTAGACATAAGTTTAAGCCTAACGTAAGCCTAATCCTAACACTAGCCCAAGCTGTAACCCTAGCCCTAACTGTACAGATATGATCCATGGATGGGGCTAATGTCCGGGGTTTATTGACGGGGGGTACTGTCCTGCTCCCTGTGTGTCGAGACTTCATAGGTTCCAAAATAAAGAAATATCATGATACCAGTCATCTTACTCTTTATTACTATGTCGCGCTCGCTCATATTAGATCTTTCATCGATCGCGGCCGTTAGTTCTATTGTCCGCACAGACAAAATCCAATCGCTAATCACATGGATCGGGTGGTGTCTTGACCTCCGCTGAACCCCTGGGGCTCAATCGAACACATGTTAAGAACAACTGTTCTAAAACAAATTAATATTCTTATATTTTCATTTTAAGAAAATTCCAAGCTTTATCTGATTTCCTAGTAGATAAATGATTAAAGCAATGTATAGTAAGACTACCAATATGTTACAAATCCCCTTTATAAACTAATCACATAAATAACCATGATAATTACTTAATTTTGTTTCGGTACTAAAAATGATCCTCACCACAAATACTACCTCAAATAGCTATTTGATTGAGATAGTGCATGAAACTCAAATCGACGGGCTAAATAATTATGCCTTTGTAACAATCAACATAAATAGATATTTGCTTTTACTGTATGTTAAACTCTACATTCTCCAAATTTAGGGCCTTGACTGTCTAACGGATGATTTAGTTCAATGGCGACAAATATCATCACAGCCACATGCGTTACCACGTTCAGCCGATTCCTTATTCAGAATGTCGGTCAGTAACATATTATTATGATGTTTCATCTTGTAGCAGTAGCATATTAATTTTAGCAAAACTTTTTTTTAATGTTTAATTTCAGATCTATTTTGCATTTAAAACGTGTATGTAATTTGTCTTCAGGTCAAAATTAAAGCAATACAATGGCGAAAATGGAAACATAGTGCTGTCCCCCATCCCACCCAGAGGCGTAGCGACCCTTCCCGGCGCACGGGGACAAACTTTCATTTTGGCGTCCCCACCCCACCCCCCACCCCCAAATATTTTTTTTATATTTATAAATCAAAACTGCAGTTAAAATGAGCTTTTAATTTTCTTTTCAACCCATTTTGGCGCACCTTGGGTCGGCGCCCGGGGACTTATGTACCCCCCCCCCCCCCCATCGCTACGCCTCTGATCCCACCCAACGCTTTACTTCCAAACATATATATATATATATACATACATACATACATATATATATATATATATATATATATATATATATATATATATATATATATATATATATATATATATATATATATATATATATATATATATATATATATATATTTGTAAGCCCTGACGGGTAGGGGGGGGGTGTCTTAAACCCTAATGTAAATGCAGCCGTGGCTGAACCCACGGTGGTTAAACCCTAACCTTAATCTACATAAAAAACAAAAAAATAATTAAGCTTATCAATGATCTTAAACATAACCAATCAACCATATTAAACAAACGTCTAATCAAACGCTAAACAAACATAAAGCGCCCGCTGCGAAACCAATCCGCTGAGATCATATCTACATTCTCACTGCTGGCTAAGGGATAAAAATGAGCAACCCCAAAGGAAACTCGACCACAGCCATTGTCTGGCTAGAAGTACCCTATATTCACAATCACGTTCACGCACAGATTCGCACACTAACTAAAATATACAAATAATACTAATGTAAATTCCTAACTCTACCCTCATGGCTAATCATCCATTGGGTATCAGTGCAGTTGTTTGGTTTGGGATTATGTACAGGGGGCAACTGAAATGATGAGGCAATTACGGGTGGGGAACGGGGGGGGGGGATAATTATTATGTGAATAATTAGCAGGTTGTTTATGTCAATCTCCCGACAAGTTTTCATTTCCCTTTCCCTTTCCATTCGTTATACATCGCCACAAAATCGACCTCCTCCTTTCCTAGACTGAGATGTTAACTATGGACTACCTCCTTTACTGTAACACCCATCCTAAGTTCTATTCAAAGGATCTACATAAATGACAACGCAAATAATAATTAGTGAAAAAGGCAGCTTTGAGATTTTAAAAAAAAAACGGGAGTGATCTCCCCTACGTAAATAAAATTTCATCAATCTAGCTGTAAAGGTACTCAAGTTATCATGTTCACAGACACACATACGCACGCACACACACTCACACACACACACACACACACACACACACACACACACACACACACATACACACAGACATACTGACAAGATTGCAAAACTATGTTTTCCCGACTCAGGGAGGTGAAAAAAGTTGAGATTTGCAAAAAACAAGTTAATAAAAAGTCTAGTGACAATTTAAGCGCAATTTCCTTAATTAATTTTTTGTGACCGAACGAATCACCCGTAGATGTTTGCACCCCTTTTCGTTTCTCTGTACACGAGCAGAGCTAGTCCCCGCCCCCTCGCGGGATCTGCGCGAGTATGGCCAATGGCAGCGTGACGTTACCTCTCACTAGCGACTTTCTCAGCCGTGTGCTTGTGGTAGAAATATTTGTATATTCTTAGTAATCTTAGCCAATACAAATTAGAAGAAATTAATTTTTTGTGGCCGAACGAAAGGATATTTTTGAAAACATTCTTCGGTAATATTGTTCTAAATTATGGCAGGAATCGATTGGTAAATGTTTCAAGTCGCTAAGTGGTCTGGTTGTCGAGATATGGGCCAAAATCTGCATTTTTTCGAGGTTTTTTGGCTTTTCCGGGAAATCCAGGAAGGAATTCCGGGAATTTTTTTGGCCTATGTTCATCCTCGGAACTTGCTTAACATATTTGCTTTGGAACTAGTACTTGATATTGCTTCGTTTAGGAGGAGATACGACTTAAAGACGACTTAAAGCTGCGGACACACATCCTTACATCCAGAAATGACGAATTAATAAACGCAATTCTCCAGAATGGAAATTGCGCTAAAAAATGTCACGATTACAATACTCTCTATATTTCTTATACGAGAAAATAATAAGAAATAAACCGGGAGAGATCTCCCCTAGCTTTCTCGAAATTCTTATCTAACACTACGGGGGATGGTAACTCGGGATATAGACATTATTTTTAATCCATTTTTAATTATTTAAACTTTTTAAAATAGAATAGAATCTCGTAGAAAAAAAGAATTGCGCATCAAGTAAACGCCAAATAATATGTGTATAATAGTGCGGAATATTATTAGTACTTTATAAATTTTCATGCGTTTTTGAGAAATCGAAAATAGCGTACATTACTAGTGTTAGAAAATTTGGCAGAAAATAGTATTTCTATTACTGATTGTCGTGGTCAATCATTTGATAATGCATCAGTTATGGCAGGGGTTAAAGGAAGCGTTCAAAGAAAAATTATCGACATTAACCCAAAGGCAGTTTTTGTGAATTGCGAAAACCACAGCCTCAGCTTAGCATGCGTTCATGCAAGTGAGGTTCAACCTGTTTTAGGTACTTTTTTTTTTTTGGAATCGTGGAAAAATGTTCACTTTTTTCACATCGTCGTCTTTATGTTGGGAAGTATTGAAGACATTTACTACATTATCCGTCAAAAGACAATATGACAATATATGATGGAGCTAACGATATGATGCTGTACATGCAATTCAAGAAGAAATAGATAATATAATTTCTAGCCTTAACTTTTTGTCTTTGTTGAATTTTTGGTGTGCTATTTTAGCAGCAGTGCAGAAAGTTTCAAAACGATTACAAGATCCGAAAATGGGATTTCATCAAGCATTCAAAGATTTTAAAAAGGCTAGCTGAAATATTAAACTTAAAAGCTGAACAAATAATTAACAACGCGATAATTTCAGTAAATGAATATTGTGACAAATTGGAGATACCTATACCTTGAAAAAGGAGAAGGAATATGATGGCTGGTGAAACAACAAGAGATGTTGGACTAACGGCTCAGCAGGAAATCAACCGAGTAATGCATGAGATTATGAATCGGTTAAAAATGGAAATTAATATCGCAGTGCTCGGCTTGAAGTTTTGAAAAACCGTCTTCGTTTTTGTTGAATCTTAATTCTGTTAAATTCTGTTTTTCTAAACTTAAATTAATTAAAACACATCTAAGGTCCTCAATGTCAAATGAAAGACTAACAAATCTAGCTCTGATAAGTATTGAAAAAGTGAGAGGCTAACAAATCTAGCTCTGATAAGTATTGAAAAAGAATTCTTAACAGCTGATGTCAAGCAGGAGGTGGTGAAGACATTTTCTGAAAGAAGGGCACACCTGGGGAACCGTAACTAGCTATTGAACTGTATTATTTTGTTTATATACTACTAGCCGTCCCGGCCAGGCCCTGCTCTGGCTTCTGTGAAAAACCTTTCCGTTAAAGACCATTACCTGTGTGTTTAGTAATCATCATAAACCCGGCATTGCCCACCCAAACCACAACCAACCAAAACAACAAAACGCAAACATAACGCTAACACAATTAGAAATACAAACGAAAACAAAAACCTAACAACAAACCCAACCACAACCACAAACCCCAATACAAACACAAAGAAAAAACAAACGAAAACAAAAATCTAACAACAAACCCAACCACAAACACCAATACCAAAAAAAAAACAACGAAAAAGCAAACGAAAACAAACCAAATCCAAACGCAAAACCAACCAAAAACACAAATACAAACCCAAACAAAAAAAAACAAAAACGAAAAAAGAAAGAACAAAAACGAACCAAATCAAAACGCAACCACTAACGCAAACCCACCTAAATACAAAGAAAACACTAACGCGAACATAAACGCCCGGGGCAGAATCGCCTGTTTTAGCTTAATAAACGACTATAGTACCCCAACTTATTCATAGTTTTTGCACTCACTTAAACGAACGCGCCTGTTTCAATTTAATGAACAATTATAATACTCCAAGCTTATCCGTAAAATACCTACAACATTTGCACTTGATCAATCCCCGCTAATTATGTAATTATTTTTTTCCCAACACCAAAACAAAGTAATTAAAAAGTAAATGCTTTTCAACTAATGCTATGGTTTTATAAAGGGAAGTAATTGTGTTTGCCTTATTTATCAAAGGGAAGTAAGCGCTATAGGACTAAAGAAAGACATAATTAGAATTTTTGTAAAAGATGATATTTTTTTTAAAACTTGTGTTTAATGAACATGCCGACAATTATTACTATAATTTGAAAAATGAAAATGATTTCCCAACACTTTTAATAGTAATTTTTTAACTCATAAATTTAGACAACTGCGCACGATAATTGATCTAACACTTAAATCCGTAGAAATGCCAACGACAAACATATGCGTTACAGAATTGAGCTTTATATATTAGATTCTATTCAATTTGTACTTATTTATATTGTATGACCGATTCTGGAGATTTCAGAATTAGCTCTTATAAACTCCAAAACATGTATCAGTTTCGTAGCGAGGTCGGGTGTCACCCGGTGCGGCACTTAATGGTGTCACCCCTAGAGGCGTAGCAACCCTTCCCGGGGACAAACTTTCAATTTTCGATTTGCACCCCCCCCCCTGCTCTCAAACTTTCGATGTGCACCTCTTAAAACAGTATTTAACACTCGAATTAATCTTTTAATTAAGTGAAATTATCATTTATCACAACCTCACATGACGACGACAAGACGCAGACTGACTTCCAACTATCCTCATAACAACGAAAGCATTCTATCTTACGTCACATCCTTATTTATTCACGCATTCATAATCTTTTATTAATATCGCTACACACATACTCTCAAACCATCCACAACTATATTAACTCCATTCAACTACACACATACTCTCAAACTCATTCAATATACTGAAGTCCATTCACAACACCCATAACAATTTTCGGTTGCATATTCAAAGATGTGTTTTTGCATGGGCTTTTATATATTAGGATAAATATTAAGGCTAATTGTAATAGTTGTATAAGCAACTTCTTTAAGGGGGTCATCCACAAATGATGTCAAACAGCAACAGTATTTTTTAAGAAGACTATATGAAAAGGGTTTAGATCGAAAGGGGTAAGACAAGGATGCTTGCTATCTCCCATACTTTAAAAATGCACCTAGACAGGATTATGAGAAACCCATTGGAAGACCATTTCGGCCCTATTCAGCCCCCCCCCCTTTTCCTCTGAGAGCACTATGGCACCTACAGTCTTTTCAAAGAGTGCCGTACACTATGGATACGTTTGGCAACAGTAATCGTTAACTAAATGGAATCAGTTACGTCTTCCAGCGCCCTGGTGGTCAGGTGACCTGAAGCACCCAGACCGACCCCGTAAGCACTATGGCGCTTATATTCATTTACAATAGGAACATATTTCTTTTGATGACTAAACAGATCCAGTGGACGCACCATGCTGTAGTGTAATCGCACGGCAACGCCCCTGATACATGGGCGGCTGACGAGGTGTGTTCTACCTCACCGTGATACAATATGCATCTGTTATTAACAATGATAGCAATAGGCGTGGAAAGAAAATTAGGTCAAGCGTCCAAAAATAGTAATGATTGAATAGTATAAGAAATGTCCATGAATTCTCTTTCTTCTTAGATCAAGGTAATGCGTGCGACGCGTACGCTAGTATATTGGCGAAATTTAAAGTAAGCATTATCTCAAATCTTGCTGTTTCGTACAGTTTCTTCGGGGTGGGGGGGGGGGAGGAGGAAGGGAGGGGGGGGGGGTAGTGCCTCTCTCTCCTACCCCAAAAAAGGAATTTATATAGAAAACGTATACATTTACCAGTGTCCGCCCTCCCCCCCCCCCCCCCCACACAAAAAGGAATTTATATAGAAAACGTATACATTTACCAGTGTCCACCCTCCCCCCCCCCCCCCCGAAGAAAAAAGTCTGGAAGAAACACTGGTTTCGTATCACTTACTCTACTTCCGGTTTCTCAAAAGCCTATAAATTGAGTACTGTTTAAGTTAGGTAGACAATATTCCACATATAAGTACCAGTATTACATTGTATCCGCAGGGTTTTTTTTTCAACTTCTAAATGATTTACCATAAGCGAAAGTAGTATTTTACATAATTTTCGTGGTAAAAAGATAACTTGAGTGTTATTTCAGTTAGGTAGACGGAATATCTTATGTAAGTAAAAAGTCTTATGTAAGTAAAAAGTCTTACATTTGGATTACTTCCAATCATTAAGTGAGGTCTGATATCCGGAAATGGTAAGCTACTTTACTCGATTTTTCATTTCTAACATACCGATATTGTTTCAGTTAGGTGAACGTAGTTTTATACATAGGTGTAAGATCTTATTTAGTGGTATCTGTCAAATTGGTGAGGCGTGATATCTGTAGGCAGCAACCCATCGACAAAAGAAAGCTCCTTGTAGCTTGTTCTTGGTTGCACAAACATGATGGAAGCAAATCCAGAACACAAACAAGCTGAAAAAAGAGTCAACGGCCTTTACGGCGCAAGTAGAAGAAATTTTTAAAAAGTGGTTTCCGGTGACGGGAAGTAGTACTGTACGCTATTTCCGATTTTTCAACAAAACAAAATTGGCGGAAAATAGCTTGAGAAAATCCGTCCACTTAAATTGGACCGATTTATTTCGAATTTTTCGCAAGGTCAAGACTCGATGAAAATGCACTGTGACATAAAATGTGACTTTATTAGTAGTTTAATTAACTTATTTAAATTTAAATCAAGATTTCCTTTATTAAGTAAAGATTTCTGCTCTATTTTACACACATTGTTTACTCTGTTTACAGGCTGCATCAAATCATAATAGCAAACTGCTTGAGAGTGAACATAATTATGGCAATGATGTTCCAAGAAAAGAAGAATCTAGTTGGCCGATGGCAGATTTTACATTACACGGTATATTTTAAACATTTACGGAAGAAAAATCACAGAAAAAACCATACTTTTAATTACTTTATTTGATAAACTAACTGTAAAACTGTCTGTCAAATGACAGGCAACATTTTAAAATTATAATTTACTTTTTATCCGATTTCAGTTATTTTGGTCAGTTTTTAAAGATTAAATTTCATGGAAACAACATGGAATGGACAAATTATTATTTGATCAAAATAGATTACCCTAGACTCAATGGTTCCATTGTAAGTGCGATAATCTATCGAAAAAATTATTAAGGTAAAATTTCATACAAGCTTATATTAACTGCACGATGCCGCCTAAACCACTACCTTACTATGTCCATCCCAACCCGATTCCACACGAACTCCCAACCCCCAACCCCTCAACATATTACCTTACTACTTAAAGATATTCCTAGTTGGTGTTTCGATGGATTTTTTTCAATTCGTGTAATGTTGAAGTAGTAGGCCTAAATCTTGGAAGAATAATAAGGGCCAGACAGGCATTTGCAAATTTTAGAACAGTCTGGAAATAGTCACACATTTCTAAAAAAAAAAATTTAAAGTAAGAATCTTTATCTCCAACGCTAAAGCAATGCAGCTTTTATAAATAGTTGCTTAAGAAGTATATTAAAAATAAAATGGCAAGACAAGGTAGAAAACGCAAAACTGTGGGGGATGTATTGGTAGGAAACTAGACAAAGGCAAATCATGGAGAGGAAATTGCTAAAGATCGGACTGGAACTCCAAGGGTAGGCAACGCATAGCTCTATCTTGGAAGACATGGTGAAGTAGCGATAGATCGGACTGGAACTCCAAGGGTAGGCAACGCATAGCTCCATCTTGGAAGACATGGTGAAGTAGCGATAGATCGGACTGGAACTCCAAGGGTAGGCAACGCATAGCTCTATCTTGGAAGACATGGTGAAGTAGCGATAGATCGGACTGGAAACCAAGGGTAGGCAACGCATAGCTCCATCTTGGAAGACATGGTGAAGTAGCGATAGATCGGACTGGAACTCCAAGGGTAGGCAACGCATAGCTCCATCTTGGAAGACATGGTGAAGTAGCGATAGATCGGACTGGAACTCCAAGGGTAGGCAACGCATAGCTCTATCTTGGAAGACATGGTGAAGTAGCGATAGATCGGACTGGAACTCCAAGGGTAGGCAACGCATAGCTCCATCTTGGAAGACATGGTGAAGTAGCGATAGATCGGACTGGAACTCCAAGGGTAGGCAACGCATAGCTCTATCTTGGAAGACATGTTGAAGTAGCGATAGATCGGACTGGAAACCAAGGGTAGGCAACGCATAGCTCCATCTTGGAAGACATGGTGAAGTAGCGATAGATCGGACTGGAACTCCAAGGGTAGGCAACGCATAGCTCTATCTTGGAAGACATGGTGAAGTAGCGATAGATCGGACTGGAACTCCAAGGGTAGGCAACGCATAGCTCTATCTTGGAAGACATGGTGAAGTAGCGATAGATCGGACTGGAACTCCAAGGGTAGGCAACGCATAGCTCCATCTTGGAAGACATGGGGTCAGTCAGTTTCATCACTCGTTTTAACTCAATTTTTGCATTCTATTATTACCAACGTGTGAGATCATTTAATCACTAACCTTTAACTTAAAAATTCAAGCTTTTATTAACATAAACATTTCAATGAAGCAGGAAATATTCTATAGCCTTTCTCCTGCATGGTTTAAATAATAAAATTAATTTAAATATTCTTCATCTACGTAATAATTTCATTTCATGCTGTTTCCTTAAATTGATATCGTCGAAATACTTCCAAATCAAATTATTTGATAGAAGTTTATAAATATATGGAAGGGATAATGCAGATAAAAAACAGCATTTATCTTGGTGGTTATTTTCAGTTCATTAATGATGCTTAATCTCTCTCTCTCTCTCTCTCTCTCTCTCTCTCTCTCTCTCTCTCTCTCTCTCTCTCTCTATATATATATATATATATATATATATATATATATATATATATATATATATATATATATATATATATAAAGCAATGTATGTCTGTGTGTGTGTCTTTTATGCGAAAAAAATATTCAAATTAAACAAATTTGAGTAATGTTAGGTGACCTGAAGTCTGTAGTACTTTACCCTGTTTCCACTATCTCAACAAAAAAAAATAATAAAATAACGAATACAAATTCATTTTTAACTTGATTTCTCTGTCTTTCCTCCGTCATAGTCGGAACCTTGGGGGCAAATTTTCGATCACTTCTACTGGACCGAGTTATTTTTAACTTTTCATGTAGGTTACAAGTCTCGAAGACAATGTATTGCAACATAAAATGTTACTTAATTAGATGATTAATTAATTCTTTGAAAAGTAATCAAGGTGTTTTTAATGAAGGACTAATGTTCCGTACTACTATATAACTTTTCTAGTATTCTATTCTATTTTTTAAAAAAAAGTATTTGAATATTAATTTTTTTTTAAATGCCTATATTCCGACTGCATTGGGGTTGCCATCCCCATTAGTGTTATCTAAGAATATTCAAAAATGTTTTATTCGCTTTCTTTTAATTGCTTGAATTAGATCGACACAAAATCTATATTGTATACGCAGACAGCGCTGGTGCCGTAAGCACATTGATCGTGCTGCAAGGAGCATGAGAGCGCATCATCAAGTGTCCATCAGTGGGGCTAGTGTCCATCAGTTTTTCTTCCAGACTTTTTTCTCCGGAGAGAAATTAAAATTTTCGGGGGGGGGGGGGGGGGGGGCGGACCGAAATTTTCTGGGGTGCGGACACTGTTAAAAGTTTATTTTTTCTATATATAAAGATGCCTGGAAGAAACTCTGGTGTAAGTTCGGGTATTTGTCCCATTCAGAGAATTGCCCATTCGGAAAACGACATTCAATTTAATAGGCAAAAATTAGGCTAACAACATCTCAATTGTCAAGTTTGTTTCTTATCGTCTAGTGATCGATCTAAGCCGCAGTCAGTCTAGGTCAGTTTTCCAGTTATATAAGAGTGAACTTTCTCAAGAACAACCCTTTGCCACTTATCAGCAAGTACCCGATCTAAACAAAATTATATATATATATATATATATATATATATATATATATATATATATATATATATATAATTTTATTTATGTAAATATATTTATTTTTTAATTTGTTAACGGAGTTATAAATTCAAAACTGTTTAGCTGATACACCTGTGAGAAACTCAACTGTCTTTTACAATCAACAAGACGGAATCGCAGAAGTAGTTTACGCCCACTTTGATGAATCCCAAAACCACCTGAAGTGCAATATTGGTGATATAATTAGGATGATTGGTGATCCTGTTGATGGTTGGAATTATGCTTATAATCCATCTATTAACGAGTACGTTTTTTTTTTAAATTATTTTTTTAAATTTTGGTTTTTAATTAACAAAGATACATTTTGTACTTGACATATTTTAGCTCATTGAAAGATAAATATCTCCAATTTAAGTAAAATTGGGTATTGTAGATAAAGCTTCATTTCAGAAATATCTTAATCACTAATTGGATTTGTTCATCTTTCATACAACTCATGATACATCCCTGAAAGCTTTTTAGAGAGTTTTTTATAAAGTTATGGGGGAAAAGAAACAATGTTTTCCAAAAAGTTAACATTTGTGTGTAAGGTGGGAGGGAGGGCGGTATGCATATTCTCCTACAGGAATTGCTGCTTGTTGAATATAATCAGCTTTGCCATTAAAAGCTTCCTGCCTTGTTCTTATATCAACTATTAAATAATATCTTCTTTTCCAATTAGGGCCTTTTAACACAAAACAAAGGCAATATGAAATGTTGAGTGACGAAAGAAAATTAAAAGAACACCCTATTCAGATTTTTTTTTTGGCGACACGTTTGTTTGTTCCTATGATTGGAATCCCAGGCTAAAACTATTGTTTAAAATACACCGTGAAATAAAACGTGAAAATCTTTGGATGCGTAAAAACAATTTAAAAATTCTTACTAAATTTTTATCTATTTTAACAAGATATGGTTGGTTCCCAGTCGCATATCTGGATTTTTCACAATCTAGAAGAATGCTTAATCAAAGGTAAACAAATACAAACAAATCTCTTACTCATTCACGTAAGCTGTGTTTCTCTCTCACGCTTTAGATCTTCAAAATATTACCCACAAGCTAAAGTGAATCTGTAATAAAATGTAATATCAATAACGTCCACTGTTCAACTGATTTATCATCAAAATTTCTCTAAATCAAAACGTTACCTATTTAGAATCTTTAAAAAAACAAAAACCATTTTAAAATAAGAGTTATAATTATGTTAACAAGGTGTTACTCGTTTTAGAGCTAAGAGTGTTACGGATCTGCAGAATCTGCTCCCCATTGAGTACCACCTTACCAACATGGCATACCCGGAACAACAGCTGGGCACATCTAACCGACCCAAATCCTTACACGAACCAGCCATTAGAAATTTGGTAGCTGATAACTTTAAGGTAAATGTGAGTTTTATAAAAGCTTTAATGATATTTTCAGTTTATGTTTTAATGTTTCAATAAACTCAAAAATTGTTTCTTTTCGATAGAGCACCGATTATTCTAGAAGAGAATACCATTTCACAAAAGATAACTCCTCTGGATCTGATGTAGGTTTATACAGAAGTGCCTACACACACAGTGAGACAAGTCAACCCTTACCACCCGCGCCCATAACAAATTATAACGACTCGATCTTAAACGCAACAAAAGGTTCTTTGACTTCTCCTAACACGCCAGAAGTAGGGAGTCGAAAGAGAGCTAATTCAATAGGGACGTACTTACCAAGTGATCCATTATCTTCATATCAACAGTTGCATAATATGGCTCCACCTCTCAGCACCTTTACTAATACAACTTCGACTGGGTCATTTCAGATATCTCCAAGAACAAATACTCTCCCCCCGCCACCTCCGCCCCTACCACCTCCACCCCCGCCACCCCCACCACCTCCGCCCCCTTCATCTCTCCCAAATCCTCCTCCTCTACCAGATTTGCTGAATAAAAAAAAATAATTTTTGAAACAGCTCAATGCCCCATTTCTATATATTTTTATTGAAACTATTTCACGTTAGAAATAATAGGGAATGATCTTCTCTAAAATTTCTTGTATAATCTTATATAACACTAGCCGTCCCTAGCAGGCTCTGCATTGGCTTTTGTGAAAACAAAATTATCTCTTTAAGGCCATAACTTGTTTTTTTTTTATTAAGCATCATGTGTTAGAAATATATTAAATTTCCAACTTATGTCTATGTGCAAATAACGAAATCGGAATATATATAACCCTAAACCTAACCCTACCCATAACAACCACAACCACACAGATAAACATAGCAAATATAGACAGGTATAAACCTTCTTGTCTTCTCGCACTACTACCTACGTTAACACAAAAATAAACACAAAATAAACATAAACCTTAACTCCCACCACAACTTCAACCATAAATAAAACAAAGAAACATAAACCAACCCTCCCCAGAATCTCAACCACGAACATAAACCCTCTCCCCCTCCCCTCACTTCTACGCCTAAAAAACAACCACAAAAACACAAACTCAAACATAAAACAAACCCTAACCCTCAATACAACATCAACATCAACCACAAACATTAACATAAACCCCCACATCTACACTTACTCATATACATATACGTCAGTAGCGTACGCAGGGGGGAGCAGGGGGAGCGGCCGCTCCCCCTCTGGCCATTTTCAGCAAAGTGGCGCCTTTTTGGAAACTTTTTAAACTCAAAGTTTTAAACAATGATATTTGTTAAAAAATATTTTTGGTCGGCACATCTATGTAAATCACAAGATTTCTTTTCATGCAGCAATTAAGCATTATTGTACTAGTATAGTAGTGTCTACGTTTACAACGCGTATTAACAGCTGCATCAGTTTGCCATTCTAAAAATAACCATTACGATGCATTGCAATGTTCAAAAAACCTCTACGGTAGTACCACTTGGCAAGAGGGGTGTTAAGTTTAAGGCAACTGGATGTCAATAACCTCTAATTGTTTTTCCATATAGAAACAATAATGATGAAAAAAAAAAAAAAAAAAAAAAAAAAAAAAAAAAAAAAAAGGCAACTGTATAATGTATTTGCTTACGAATAATTGAATTAGAAAATGTTATACATAAAACTTCACACATAATTACGCTGATTTTAAAAACTTTCATTATGCTGTAATACTTTAGCATTTATGATGACGATATATTAAATTCTGATTATAGACAAAACATTTTGTAAACACGAATAGTGTTAAACAATTTCATTATATTCTAAAGTAATTATTTATTTGTTTTGACATTTATTAATAAATGTGTAGATATATACAGATTTATATTAAGAGAGTGATTATTTCCCCTATTTCACTTGTTTTAAATAATTTCCCAGTAATTTTTATGTAAGAATTTTTTTTACAAGAATTACATAACAGATTGTATTACGTTCATTGTTTTTGGTTGTAGTGTATATATATATATATATATATATATATATATATATATATATATATATATATATATATATATATATATATATATATGTATAAAATACACGTATATAGAACGTGTTAAAAATGCGTCGCCTTATTTTGCTCTTTTCGCTCCTCCTACAACGAAAACCTGGATACGCCTCTGATATACGTATACAAATACCTATACCTATATTTACACCTATACCTATAACTATACCTATAAATATACATAAACTTAAATCTACACATACACAACTAAAAACTAAAAGAAATCAAAATATACGATTTTAAACTATTACATGAAATTTTTCAATAGTTGAAATTGATGTTATTATAAAGTAATACTTATATGTAATTTCGTCCACATAACTGTAGCGGTACGGAAGTCATTTGTTTTTGATTTGATAAACTGGTAATAAAGAATCACTTCCGGTTACCGAAAAGTGATTGAAAGTTCAAACAAAACAATAAAGTTGTAAACCTATATCAACTAATATATGATATTTTATCGACCTAACTAAAACAGTACTTAAATCTTCCTGTTGACATACACGCAGACTAATAAACACACATGCAAGATTGCAAATAATAAGTTTTCCAACTTAGGTGTAAAACGTCGTGATTCAGTGGCGTAGCTACTGTAAAGCTAGCGTAAGCAAGGCATAGGGGCCCAAAGCAAATAGGGGTCCTTTTCCCTCTTTTAATTTTAAAAAACTTTTACATTGGAGTTTTAATATTTGTATTATAAAAATAATTTTAAAAAGAAAACGGAAATACGGTTTCTTACCTACTGTAGAAGTAATCAAAAGTTCCAAAAAAGGCCCCCAGATCTTTCTTACTGGGGCGGGGGGGGGGGGGGGAGGGTTGTAAAGGGCCCATCGGTATTAATAACACTATAGGCATTGTTGCATTGTCGGGCAAGCCGATGAGAGAATTAGCCTATAAATAAACTTGAACATTGACTCTTTTGTGAGATTGGCATCCGGCACCCGCAAATTTATACGCATCGCTAAAAACTCTTTACCCCACCGCCACAAACATGCACCCCCTCCCCTTTCAACTCTCTGTCCTCAACGAAATTCCATTCATCCTTGATTACAATTGTGCCATTTTTTTGTTAACAACAAGCTACGTCGAAAATGTTTCAATGGTTTTCTAGTTTTAACCTTAATCACAATTTGTTGATCTAATTTATCTCTTATCAATATCCCGCTACTTCAATATTTTTGTTTGTCTGTCTCCTTGTCCTTTATGCATTAATACAAAAAAGATCCAATCGCCAAGAAACATTGGGAAGTCGTTTAGAATAATTCAGACAAACCTCTGCTGACCATGAAGTTTCCTACCACAACCCCACACACGAGGAGCAGTTCCCTTCGAAGAGAAGCTAAAGAAACTCCGACTCCAGTAAAGTTTTCTGCTATTAAATTTTTTTTTAAATTTCGTTCGGAGAGCGGCCCCTTGACAGTAAGGCGGTTCGGTTTGCCACCCAGAGTTTTCCCGTAGCTTTGTTAGCCCCTGGGGTCAGTTAATTGGTTGTCCCGCACAAGAGGTCAGGGTTACTGCTTAATGCAACGGTCAAACTGCACAGGTGCATCAACAGGCGCCCCGGGCTCCGCCTGTGAGCACTACGGCGCATACACTTGTTTTAATGAGCGCCATGCCCTAGGGATACGCAGGGCTACTATAATCAATTACTAAAGAAAATAAGTGGTGTCCTCCAGCCGCCTCGGCAGCAGTATAAGATTAGGCCAATTAGGCGCCCCGAGTCTCTCCATTATTATGATGTTATGAAACAAGTTGTAGATATCCCATTTGGGTCAGTAACTTGGCCATCCTAAGTATCGAACATACAGAAGCATCTAAAAAGGACTTTGCAAACTTATAAGAAAGAAAAACAAATCTAAATAAATCATGAGCAACTTTTTAAAATGTGTATTTGGTTAGGGGCGTCACTAGGTTCGGTATCACCCGGTGCGTTTATTGAGTGTCACTCCCACCCCGTCTAACAGTTTTGCATTTTAACTGAATAAAAAATAGTTCTGACAGTAAATTTTACGAGTTTTCGTCTTGGTGTCACGCCTAAATTATGAGGCCCCTGTCCTGTGACGCTGCTGTGCTAGGTTCCTTAAATGTTACAGGCTTACAGTTAATTTGTAAGTTTGTTTTTACTTGAAAGTGATATAAAATCAAAGCTATTTTACGTTACGGGGTACTACATAATAATTCCGTATAAATACACAATTAGGCCGTATAAAATACACAATTTGCAGATTGACGTAGGGGCCCAATAATAATGTTTGCATAGGGACCCGAGAATCCTAGCTACGCCACTGCCGTGATTTGTCGAGATTTGTAAAAAAAAAATCGTTTTCGAGTTTTACACGGCTACAAAGCTTCCTCTATACCACGCTTCGATGAAGTATTGTTAACAAAAATGTATTTTTAAAAATGTATTAAACATCTTATTCGTGAAAACTTTGTATCCCCTTGCATTGGCCTTTTTTACTTTCTCGTATATACGTAGTATAGAGAATGTATTGTAATCGTGCAAAAAAAAAAATCGAGATTTTTACAAATCTCGACGTTTTACACCTCACTGATACGGAAAAACATAATTTTGCAATCTTGTCCGTATGTCTGTGTGTCTGTGTGTGTGTGTGTGTCTGTGTGTGTCTGTGTGTGTGTGTGTGTGTGTGTAAACACGATAACTTGAGTACCGTTACAGCTAGGTTGATGAAATTTTATATATAAGTATTTTATCAAAATCGTAGATCCGAATCAACTTTTGAGCGATTTCCGATAATCGGAAGTGGTACTTTTTCTACTTTGAATTTTTCAAAAGCCTATAACTTGAGTACTATTTCAGATAGATAAATGAAATTTCACATGTAAGTAAAAGATCTAATTCTCTACCTTCTGTTAAATTTTGACGTTGACGGGAAATACTAATTTACGCTATTTCCGATTTCTCAAAAACGCATCTAATATTATAAAGTACTAATAATATTGCGCACCATTATGAACATCTTTATTCGACGTTCGCTTGGTGTGCAATACTTTTTTCTATGAGATTCTATTTTATTTTAAAAAGTTTATGTATTTAAAATGGATTAAAAATCATAACTATATCCCTTGTTGTTTTATATAAAAATATTCGAGAAAGTTTAGGGGAGATCGCTCCCGGTTTATTTCAACTTGAAGCAGATGGGTTTGATAAAGGTGGGTGGAATTTTTATTGCACGATTACATCCACAGTACAGCACTTCAGGCGAGGGATCAAGTTAACCACAACTTAATCGAAGTGTTCTTTAGTCTCTTAACAAGTACCCTCTTACATTTTTATAAATGTTATTTTTAACTAAGGTAACTCAATGTTGAATTAGTTTTACATTAAAATGTTAATATTGTATCCTAGTTTTCTTCATGTTTTCTGAGGTCTCAACACAATTTTCGTAAAAAAATCAAAATTTGCCCAATAAAATGGGTAGAAAAGTAATTTCTCGCATTTTAAACTAAATACTTTTGTCA